CCCCCCCCCCCGCACTCTAGACCATCCTCTGGTCACACCTGCCTAACGTCAGCCAAAGTTAAAGGACCTGACGAATGTGTCAGGGTACAAACTGTTTTTGTACACCATGCAACCTCCTTGCAGATTTTTTGTGTAGACATTCACATTTAACTTCTGATTTTGATCTAACAGAACTCATATTGGTTACTTTTGATTGCAATGAGCATAGTAACAATGTATTCCAATAATTCTTTGGCATTGTTTTAGCTATCACATCTCGCAACTTTTCTTGCAACTTTTACTAATTTTTCTTTCAACTTTTTGCAACTTTTGCCATTTTCAAATGCAACTTTCTCTGAGGACAGTAATGGAGCCTCCTCTCTCTCTTCGTGGCGCCACGAGCAGTACGCCGCGGTGGGGATCAAATATGGCCGTCGAGTGTGGGCTAAATCTCTAACTGTGGCGTTTCTTTTTATAGAATCTTATCGGGCTGGGCCACGATGTAGGGGTGTGCGGGGTGGGGGAATGCACGCAAGAAAGAGGGGATGGAGTAGGAATGAAAGAGGAGGGGCGGGCCTTGGGAAGGGACGAAGGAGAATGGGAAAAATTAAATAAAAGAGAGAAAGAGAGAGAGAGAGAGAGAGAGAGAGAGAGAGAGAGAGAGAGAGAGAGGGAGAGGGAGAGAGAGAGAGAGAAAGAGAGTGAGAGAGAGACAGACAGACAGACAGACGGACAGACGGACAGACAGAGAGAGAGAAAAGAGAGAGATAGAGAGAGAGAGAGAGAGAGAGAGAGAGAGAGAGAGAGAGAGAGAGTGAGAGATTGTGATCATCTGACGGGCTGACGGATAATGACAGGGAGAAAAAAAATAATAAATTATGTGTGTGATACAGACTATTCAATTCTTTAAGAGTTTTATGTTATAATCTAGTTTAAAAATCAGAAAGATGTGTAAAATAAGAAGCAAACTTGTCCAAGTAACATAAAATTATCAAAATACCAAATTATAAAGATAATCTTTCAAGATGCCATAATATTTAATTATTAGAAATGGATAAAAAATATACTTTAAAACTGAATTTAAGATATTATGACTGCATGATTCTATGTGTGTGCCATAACTAACTTTATGTGTTAGGAATAGCGAACACAACAGAGGGTCGATGCCAGCTTTATCTGATTGCTAACAGTATGTCTTGGTCTATAAATAACAATATTATTGATTACAATAATTTTGTTTCCTGGTTTTCACAAAGTAGAGCGCACAATGATTTCAAATAAAAAAAAAAAAAGAGATAACAGCACCTTTGGAGGTGTGATCGCATGCATGAGCGTGGATGACCTTTGAAGGTTTTCTTTTTTTTCCCCGTTCAGTAAAGTATGATATGGAGAGCAGCGTTTTTAGTCCCTTATTACACTCCAGGGGGGGGGGGGGATAATTGATCTCAGTGATGACTCTTGTGTATTAAAATTTGTTGTTGCTTTGTTTGGTTTATTTTTTAACAGCAGAATCTTAAGTGGACCGGAATTATTGATTGTGGGATCTTAGGTGAAGACTACAACAATAGAATTAAACCGAGTATAGATCTATCTAACAAGACCCAAACTCTTATCCACCCCACCCTACCCTCTCCCTTCGTCTGATATGGTTTGGTGTTTCTTTAACATAGAAAATATTCCTCATTATTGTTGTTGAGTATTGATTTCATATTCTAATGGAGCCTCCAGATATCTACATTTAGACAACAGTAGCATCTAATTTGCACACACACTGGAAACCAATATAAATGTATAATATGTATTTACATACACACATAATAATTATACATAATAATTATATATATATATATATATGTGTGTATATATATATATATATATATATATATATATATATATATATATATATATATATATATATATATATATATATATATATAAGAATAAGAATATTTTTTAAAAATTGAGTATCTTGGTCTTTCTGCAAGGGTGTTGTATCCCTTTCAGCCTGGGTTGGCCTTGGCAGGTAGCGCCGGAGCCAACCTCTTATGAATGTTAATGATCTAAATTGTGTTGCTGGAGGCATAAAAACACTTTCATTCAAATTTTTTAAAAGGAAAACAACTTAACTGTGAAAACTTCGGTCCACTGCAGCATCATATCGGTTCTTACACTTCATCATCATTGCCTTTCTCACCCTGCTTCAGGGTATAGGCCACGGACAAACACCCCCCCCCCCCCCCCACACACACTTTTCTCTATCCTGGGCTAGCCTCTTGATGTTATTCCATGTCTTCCCACTTTTCTGTACATCGATTTCTGTGATTCTTCTCCAAGTTCCACGAGGTCTTCCCCTTGATTTCTTGCCCTGTGGGTTCCAATCCAAAACTTTCTTTGTTATGCAGCTGCCTGACTTCCTGAGAGTATATCCAATCCATCGCCACCGCCTTCTTCCTACCTCATCTCTGACTGGGATCTGTCTTGTTTTCCTTAACACTTCCACATTGGTGACCCTGTCTGAGCATCCTCCATTACTTTTAATCTCCTTGCAAGGCGCATATATTTTGTTTTGAGAGTATAGATCTAGACCAGTGGTTTTCAAAGTGGGCGCTACCGCCCCCAGGGGGGCGGTGGCGACAGTTTAGGGGACGCTGTGGCGAAATTGGGCGATTGGGGGGCGGTGGTGGGCGTTAAGGGGGCGGTTTGAAATTTTCATGAAATGCAACATAGAAAAATGGTGAAGGGAAAGAAGCCACATAAAAAAATATTTTTTAAAAATTGATAACTTATTAGGCATAGTTTACAATACTACTTATTACTAAGAACTTTCTTTCCCAGCACCCAAAGCCCATAATAAATAATTATAAAGATGATTCATCCCAGCAAATCTGACAAAGGTCTGGCATGCTTCAAAACGCTAAAAATCAAATTTTCAGAAATAAAAATCAATTAAATCGATGTTTGCAGCCGACGTCGATCAAGCTGATGAAGACTTACGGGCAACTTATAATTTATCTCTACTAATTGCAAAGGCAGGCAAAACCCGTACTCTCGGTGAGGACCTCATTACCTGCGATAAGAGAGGTGGTCAGCACAGTCCTGCACCGTGCCCCGAGCCTGTGGTGAAAGTTCTTGCCATTAAGTGACAATGGATGGGATGTCAGCAAATGTTGAGGAATCATTGTGCAAAATGCTTAAAGGACGTGAGTTCAGCCTTCAACTGGATATTGGTTCATATGGGGTGAGGTAAATAATGCAAGAATTGTATTTGCGAAAATGTTGGAAACAGATACCAAAGTCGAGTCCATTTTCAAAGTGGTCCAAGAATTTTTCGAGGAGAAACAGATTCCTCGGGCCAATATAGTTGCCTGTGCATCAAACGGAGCACCGTCGATGATTGGTCGGTACCGTGGATTTATGAGCTTCTTGAAAAAATCAGTCCCTGGAGTAATAACTGTTCGCTGTGTCATTCACAGGCAGAATTTGGTGGCAAAAAATCTGAATGAAAGTCTGCATGACACACTGGCCATTTTCATCAAGTGTGGAAACACGATCAAAGTCCACACTTTGAACTCGAGATTATTCCAACAGCTGTGCACTGAAAATGACGAGAACCTTCAATTCTTTCTTTTGCACACTGAAGTCCGGTGGCTCTCAAACGGAAACTGTTTAACACGATTATTGTTCTGCCTGTTTGACTCTGTGCTGGAGCTTTTTTCAAGAAACAGACAGTGATCTCTGCAATAAACTGAAAGACCACAAGAACAACATTTCGCTCCTCACTGATCTTTTCGCAAAGTTCAACCAGTTCAGCTTGCAGCTGCAGGGGGATGACACCAACCTGATCAAGGTAAAATCCATGCTTTTGTCATTCTTGTCGAAATTGGAAATGTTTCACCGAAACATTGGTAGAAGAGAATTTACTCAGTTTCCTAGCTTGACAGAGACACTGAGAGAAGGGCGGGTTTCTGACGAGGAACTAAAAATATACACCAACCACCTCAGAGATTTGCATGCTGATATGATCGCGGAGGCAAGGTTTACTGATATCTTTAAACTGGAAATTCCAGACTGGGTACTGGACCCATTCAATACTGGAACAGATGGTGGCCTGACAGTGGCAATTGAAGAAGAGCTGACAGTGCAAAGAGACTTTGAAATCGAACCATTGTTCAAAAAGTCGTACCAGTCATTCAGGTTGAAAACTATTGTGCAAGACAAATATCCCTCCCTGTAGGAAAATATCAAGTTGTTGTTCATCGCTTTTCCCACCTCCTGTCTAGAAGAAAGGGGATTCAGTACAGTGACAAAGTTGCTGATGAAGCAGAGGAACAAACTCAGGATCACACAGCGTGGCGATTTGCGTCTGCTAGTGCCAACCTTAAACCTGATGTTGATAAGTTGGTTTCGTCTCAACAGGTCTGTCCTTCCCATTAGGGCAGTGTCAATGACTTATTTGTATTATGCCTACACTCCGTAGTTTATCCTTACTTGATACCTGAATACGTTTTTTCTTATTTTGCTTTTCTTTCTTCTTTTTCTAAAGCAAAATACTCACTTGTTTAATAGAGTTTGTTATGTGCAAGTGCTGCAACTGCTGATGAAACTGATGATGATGATGATGACGATGATTACGATGATGGTGATAATTACAAAGATCAATGTACACTTTTTCTTTCGTGTGGTTTTTCACATTTGAACAGTTTAATAATATTTTTATGTTCTACAATGGAGATATTTGATATACAAATCTCAGGCAACTTTATTGCATCTCCTTGATGGGAGAAAACGTTTCATAAAAATAATGTCAATCTGTTTTCAAACTAATGATCACTGTTTTGGGGTTCTTTTTTTTTTGTTGTGTTTTGCATCTGTAAATGTCATAATACATGTTTTACTTTTATTGATGTTAACAACACTGGTCGTTTAATGCCGATGACACATATATGAATAAAATGACCGTATTTTGTTCTCAATGCCCTTGCATGACAGTGAAGAAAAATGTGTTTTATTACTTCTCGTACACGCTTAATTTAAGACTGTAATGATGGTGATTTGTAACCCAACTAATATTCAGAACCAAATCATTAGAATTTAGGCACTTTATTTTGTACCCTACTTTTTTAGCTCTCTCTTTATTTGTGATTGTTATTATATTATGCATGTCGTTATGTCATATTGATGGTTGGGACGGAGTAGGGGGCGCTCGGACTCGGCTGGGTGAAAAAAGGGAGCGGTGGGCGAAAAAAGTTTGAAAATCAATGTCTTAAACAGATGGTCAGAATACATAGAAGAACTTTTCAAAGATAATAGAGGAGAAAAACCGGTAATAAAGAATGAAATAAATGGACCACCAATACTGAAAGCAGGAGTACAAGCTGCCATTAAGAAAATGAAACAAGAAAAGCCACAGGACCAGATAATATTCCAGTTGAAGTGATTGTCGCGCTTGAAGAACTAGGCACTGAAATAACTACAAAGCTCCTAAATGCTATTTATGACAGCGGTGAGTTCCCAGAAGATATGATGAAGTCAGTTTTTATAGCTTTACCTAAAACACCAGGTGCCACTGGGTGTGATATGCATAGAACAATTAGCCTTATGAGTCATTTTACAAAAATATTGCTGCGAGTAATAATGGGAAGATTGAGAAATTGTGTAAGACCAGAGATATCTAAAACACAATTCGGCTTTGTTCCTGACAAGGGCACCAGAAATGCTATATTCACCTTAACAATGTTAATGGAAAGATGTATTGAAGCACAGAAAGATCTGTATTTATGTTTCATAGATTATTCAAAGGTGTTTGATAAAGTTAGACATGATGAGCTGTTTAAAATACTGGAAAAGCTAGACATAGATGGAAAAGATCTTAGAATTATCAGAAATTTGTACTGGGACCAAAACGCTGCTGTACGAATTAATGGAGAATACAGTGAATATAAGAGGATCAGGCGAGGAGTGGGACAAGGGTGTGTTATGTCACCAGACCTCTTTAACATGTACAGTGAAACAATCCTTAGAAACATAGAAGAATATCCAGGCCTCAAAGTAAATGGAGAAAATAATAATAACATCAGGTATGCAGATGACACGGTTTTAATAGCAGGTTCCGAAAAGGACATTCAATTGCTTCTAGATACTGTTGTAACAGAAAGTGAACATAAAGGATTATTGATGACTGTAAAGAAAACAGAATGCATGGTAATATCCAAAAAAGCAGCAAACCCTAGTTGTAATCTCATTAGCAAAGGTGAAACGATCAAACAAGTCCGACAGTTTAAACATCTCGGATATATGATAACATCTGACGCCAAATGTTCCACAGAAATAAAAAGGAGAACTACAATGGCTAAGGCTAGTTTCACTAAAATGAGCCCAATCCTGAAAAATATAAACATCTCAATGAACACCAAAATGAAAGTCCTGAAATGCTACGTTTGGTCAACCCTTCTATATGGCTGTGAATGCTGGACAATCACTAAAGACAATGACAATAACATAGAAGCAACAGAAATGTGGTTTCTTAGGAGACTGCTAAGAGTATCGTGGAAGGAAAAGAAATCAAATGAGGTAGTGTAGTGCTTGATGAAGCCCACGTGGAACGCTTAATGTTGAAAACAATCAGGAAACGACAATGCAGTTTTTGGGACACCTGAATAGACATAAGGGTCTTGAACATCTAGCTCTCACTGGCAAAATTGAGGGCAAGCGAGGCAGGGGTAGGCCCAGAACAACATACTTAGGGAACCTAAACAAATGGGTAACAGGAAAAGATCAGGGAAACGTAGCTTTTTGAGAGCATCTGAGCAAAGGAATGAATGGAAAACCATGATCGTCGATGTCTGTCGCAAATCTGGCACTGGATGATGATGATGATGATGTTATACATTTCATCCATTCTATTAAAATCATATTCAGAGATCTTGCTGGCTTTCTTAAACGTTCTGTCAAATTTTTCTTTATCTTTCACCTTACAATTCCCTCCCCAGCAGCAAATACAAAATAATAGCACACTTTCAATCATACACGGAAACTTCTTAATTTCCTTAAAAGAAACATTCTTTGATTTACTTTTTTTATGCACAAGAGCAGCGTGGGGATGCCAGTCAAGTTTGTTGTCGATTGTTACACCAAGATACTTAAAAGAGCTTACCACCTCCACCTCTTCATCTTTAATAAATAGTGGTTGCAATTGGTCTTTTTTTTTACTCTAAAGTCTATCATTAATTCCTTTGTCTTTTCTACATAATTTAGTGAAAGGAAGTGGTTATCACACCAATTTGTAAATAGATTTACAGCGTACCCGTATTCATTCTCATTTGTTGTTATAAGGCCTTGCAGAGTGGAATAATCCACACATTTTATTAGTTTGATGTTTTTGTTATCAAAAGTACAGTCGTTGGTGTAGAGCGTAAACAAGACAGCGGGGAGATTACACAGCCTTGGGGCGCACCAATGTTCGTGAATATTAGGTCGGATTTTACACCATTTAATTTTACATATTGAGGTCGATTGGTTAAGAACTCAAGAATCCAAGCTATAGTGCTCTTGTTTATGTTCATGATAATTAATTTTGAAACCATTATTTTCGGTTGGATTGTGTTGAATGCGGGTAAAAAATCAGCAAAAGGTATCCTGCAGTAATTTCTTGGTGTGTCTATGTGATTGTAGATGTTATCTAAGAACACAAGAATGGCATCCTCCACGCCCCTCTTGGCACGATACGAAAATTGCATGTTATCTTGTATGTCTTCTGTTGATTTCCTCAGTTTTTTCAAAACCAGTTTTCTAAACATTTCATGAGGACTGATGTTAAAGCCACAGGTCTCAGGTCGTTCAAATTTTGTATTAATTGTTTCTTTGGGACAGGAATTATTTCAGAGCATTTCCATGAGAGTGGAATTATTCGTTCTTTCAAAGATATATTGAAAATATCAGTATAAATGGGAGATAACTGAGTAGAACACATTTTTAATAATTTTCCACTCGCTTTGTGAGCTTTCAGACGATTAAACATAATCTTGACCCTCATTGGAGATATATATACATGATATATATATATATATATATATATATATATATATATATATATATATATATATATATATATATATATATATATATATATATACATATATATATATATATATATATATAGAGAGAGAGAGAGAGAGAGAGAAAGATAGCTAGATAGGTAGATAGTATTAAAAAAAATTCTGTCGAACTTTCGCCTATTGTTTTTGCCAATACACAATGTCAAATTATACACGTAAGTCTTGAGTATTCCAAATTTGGTAAGCCTTTAGTAGGACACCGTAAAATATACTGTCATAGGCATAGGTTATAGCAAAGTTGTCCCAAATCAAAATACATACCTCATTAAAATTTGTAGACTATAAAATAATAAGATTATAATCCTTGATACAAGGGCTAATTTATTTACGAATACTCATCATTCCCACAAAGGTTATCTTACAGTTTCTCTCTGCTTAGGCAGGGAAAAGCCCGACGTCCAAATCTGATTTCAAGCCTCAGCCACCTCGTTTTTTCTTCTTAGAATAGAATTGTAATTAGAAAGAGGTTTTTATATTCAGCTACTCGGTAGGTAGACACCACAGAATTCTACACTTAAATTCTGTGGTAGACACACACTACATCTGATTGTGCGGAACCGCAGTACCAAGGGACAAGGGAACTCACTCTGGTGAATGATTGTAAACAAGATGGCAGCCTACACAGGCATGTGTTTTGCCTTCAGTCTCAGAAATTGAATCAATGTGCAATTTATTTTACTTGGACCCAATGTTTTTATTAAGGGATTTGAATCCAACATTTTACTTATGTTTGAATCTATCAAGCCTTATTTCACCTTCGAAGTGTCCTCAGTCTTTATTACTTTTGTTTCCGGCCACCTCTATTCAGTCTATGCTATTCTCACACATCATGCGATTAAAAGTAGAAATGATGCAAACTATTTTTAGGTAAGGCGCCCATCTTGTTTGACGTCAGACCAGGATACCCCTCCGATCACGTGACTACATCTAAGTATAGACAACCGCACGGCACCAAAGATGGAAGTGTCTATGTATATATTATGCTTAATCTACACCATTTTTCGGAAGTTCTGATAGCTGATTTGATAGCGCGTCTGCGTTTGATGTCGAGCAATGACTTTTGGAGCGGTTCGATTCCGGTCCCGGACAGTTTTTCTTTTCTCTTTTCCTCCTCCCGACTGACCAACAGTTCCATAAATTATAGGCCTAATTTGTAGAGTTGCTTTGACTTTGAAGTTGTTGTTTATTTTTTTTAATGTATTAGTGATTAAAAATGCAGGAGGGGGGGGGGGTTGGTAGATCTAAATTTAGATATCTAGATCTAGAACTAGATATTATCTAGTCCTCCTGCGTCTTTACGGCAATTTTCGTGCCGTCTTCCATCATGTCCAGGTAGGCCTAATAGATCTAGATCTAGATCTAATCTAGAGAATCTAGATCTAGATTCTAGATCTAGATCTAGATCTAGGCTAGAAAATCCGAAATGTTACCGAAAACACGTCGTTCCATGTGGGTATCCCAGGAAGTGATGACATTACATTACTAAAATTAGCAGCCAATCAGAAAGATGCGTCATTTCTAAGTTTAACGGCATGTTATTCTCACCCGGGATGAGAATAGTGCAGGCTAGTCTTTTGGCTATTCTCACCCAGTGCGCGTTCACCGTTGTAGCCTAGATCTAGATCTAGGCCAACAAATTTTGCGTTCACCCTAAACCACAGAATTCTACACTGTGATAACAGAAAAATTGTAGAATTCTGTGCCGTGAACAAACGTTCCATTACAACTGTCTGTAGCCTACTAAAAGCGTACAATTTTGGGCGCTTTTTCGGTAGTTCCCACCCCGCAATTTTTATTCACGGTTTTGGTCCCAAGAGTAGGGGGGTTTCAGGGGGGCTTTCCCCCCTGACCTAACAAAAATAGGAAGGGGGGTTTCAGGGGGGCATGCCCCCCTGAATTTTACCACAATTTAATGTTTTGCTGTTGTTAGGTTTGATATCTTGGTCTTAGATCTAGATCTAGATGTAGATCTAGGTCAGGCTCAAATAAGGGGGGTGGGAACTACCGAAAAAGCACCCAATTTTGTATGTGGGCAGTGGAGAGAGAGAAAGAGACAGAGAGAGGAGTAGCGCGAGAACTTCCGGTCAAAATAAAATGGCGACCCGCGTAGTTCGGCTCGATTCGAAAAGTTAAATAGCCGTAGCATCTTTGTCGACAACCAAATTAATTTACTTTTGTGTTTTAACATCATTTTTTAACTTTGTTTTGGTCAATTTGATCGTCCACACCGATAGACAGTATTCAGAAAGAGACAGAGAGAGAGAGAGAGAGGGGAGGAGTAGAAAGTAGATCTTGCGAGAACTTCCGGGCAAAACAAAATGGTGACCCGCGTAGTTCGGCTCGATTCGAACAGTGAAATAGCCATAGCATCTTTGAAGACGATCAAATTAGCTTACTTTTGTGCTATAACGTAATTTTTTCTTGGCTTTTATCAATGGAAGAGGCTAGCCGTACTTAATGACGGCTAGACTGGCAGTCTAGCCGTACTTTGCTAGACTCGCAGTCTAGCCGTACTTATTCTTAATATGATGGCTAGACTGACCATTTACAAAAAATAGGCCTACTGAATTGTAAATATACATTTTTAGTGTGCAGTACCTAAAGTATTTGTGTATTTGAGACGAAACCAGGTGCCTTAATGACAGTGCATGTATTTTAAACCTCCTGTTTTCTAATGTTAATAGGGCCTAAGATAAGTACGGCTAGACTGCCAGTCTAGCCGTACTTAAGTACGGGTAGACAGCCAGGCTAGCCGTACTTAAGGACGGCTAGACTGTCAGGCTAGCCGTACTTAATATTGATGGCTGAATTGTAAATGAAATTTTTAGTTTGCAATGCCTAAAGTATTTGTATTTCAGACAAAACCAAAAGGTGCCTTACTGACTTGCATGTATTTGAACCTGAATAATTACTTACTAGATCTAGATCTAATGAGACCTGTGTACTTAACAGGCTTGAGTCGATAGGGCCAAACCTAGATCTAAGTACGGCTAGACTGGCAGTCTAGCCGTACTGGCTAGCCACTTCGTTTATCAATTTGATCATCCACACCGATAGACAGTATTCCAAAATGAGGAAAAGCAGGTCTTGTTTCGCTCCGGGTGAGAATAGCCTACGCTGGCAAGTCTCACCCGGGGTGAGAGGTAGATCGTTTTTCTATTCCCACCCCGGATGAGAATAGCCACTTCCTTTGTTTCCCCTGTCTGTACCGTTGATGACATGCCGTCCGTTAAACGTAGAAATGACGCATCTTTCTGATTGGCTGCTAATTTTAGTAATGTTATGTCATCACTTCCTGGGATACCCACATAGAACGACGTGTTTTCGGTAACATTTCGGATTTTCTAGATCTAGATTCTAGATTAGATCTAGTCTAGATCTAGAATCTAGATCAAGTAGGCCTACTTGGACATGATGGAAGACTGCACGAAAATTGCCGTAAAGACGCAGGAGGACTAGATATAGAGCTAGATATCTAAATTTAGATCTACCAACCCCCCCCCCCCCCCCCCCTCTCCTGCATTTTTAATCACTAATACATTTTTAAAAATAAGGAAGTGGCTATTGTCACCCTAGGTGAGAATAGAAATACGATCGACCTCTCACCCCGGGTGAGACTTGCCACCGTAGGCTATTCTCACCCGGTGTGAAACAAGACCTGTTTTTCCTAATTTTGGAATACTTTCTATCGATGTGGATGGTCAAATGGATAAAGGCAAAGAAAAGATTACGTTATAGCACAAAAGTAAGCTAATTTTATCGACTACAAAGATGCTATGCTATTTCACTTTTCGAATCGAGCCGAACTACGGGGGTCGCCATTTTGTTTTGCCCGGAAGTTCTCGCAAGATCTACTCCTCCCCTCTTTTCTCTCTCTATCTCTTTCTGAATACTGTTCTGTTTATCGGTGTGGACGATCAAATTGACCAAAACAAAGTTAAAAAATGATGCTAAAACACTAAAGTAAATTAATTTGGTTGTTTACGAAGATGCTACGGCTATTTAACTTTTCGAATCGAGCCGAACTACGCGGGTCGCCATTTTGTTTTGCCCGGAAGTTCTCGCGCTACTCCTCTCTCTCTCTCTTTCTCTCTCTCCACTGCCCACAGATAAAATTGTACGCTTTTAGTCTAACAGTAGTAATGGAACGTTTGTTCACGGCACAGAATTCTACAATTTTTCTGTTATCACAGTGTAGAATTCTGTGGTTTAGGATGAAAGCAAAATTGGTTGGCCTAGATCTAGGCTATAACGGTGAACGCGCACCGGGTGAGAATAGCCAAAAGACTCGCCTGCACTATTCTCACCCAGAGTGAGAATAGAGGTGGCCTAGAAATAAACAAGTTCAAAGCAACTCTACAATTTAGGCCTATAATTTAGGCCGTCTTTATTCGGACTCGAGTCAGAATAACATTTTTTCATATTCGGACTCGAGTCCGAATAAAAACATTTCTTATCTGGACTCGAGTCCGAATATGAAAAAATGTTATTCGGACTCAGGTCCAGAAAAAAGGAAGTGTCTTCTTTCTATAGATCTAACGTTCAGTGCTTCCAATTTTCCGCCATTTTTTAGTTCCCCCCACACCTTTTCTGCCGATCCGATGCCCACCGCCTCATTGATACTCCCCCCACCCCCCATGTTTCCCACTTACTTTGTTGTAGAAAAAGGTAAAATTGAAGATTAGCAGACCACCTGGCACCTGCATATTATGAGCTGTGTAAGTAAAAAAAAAAAAGACCGATTCGTTCAAATACACAAGCCTGTGTCATCTCGATTGTTTACCAAGAAAAAGTTGTGTTGCTGTGTAGAGCTGAGCATACGGCAACTTTTGATTCCATAGACCAGCGCACAATTCATTACGTAGATCTACGTCAAGACCAGGTTATTGTAATAATGATCAGTTGCTGGGGGGAAAAAGACTGACGCGTATGCGACGTTCAATGCCCAGACCGATAGTGCCCCCCACCCCGACACGCACACAGCCACAGGTGTGCAGGCCGCCCATCGGACCCCTACACACGCTAAGGAGCCATCTTTAATTGCTTCTGATGACCTCTTGACAAATAAGCATTTATTAGAAGCGCTATAACTTTTCAGGCCGGCCTCAAATTCATCATAAGATAAAAACTCGGCTCCTGCACAAAACGCCATTTTGCCCGAAGTGATCCCGGTCTCTACCCAGCCTGAGGCGAGTCACGAGTGAGGCAGGACAGGAAACCGGAGTCACGAATCACAGGAAGTTGGAAGTGATGTCATGCTGGACAAGAATCAGAGTCCGAATAACATTTTTTCATATTCGCACTTGAGTCCGAATAGTCACTTCGTATAATTTATGGAACTGTTGGTCAGTCGGGAGGAGGAAAAGAGAAAAAAACAACTGTCCGGGACCGGAATCAAACCGCTCCAAAAGTCATTGCTCGACATCAACAAACGCAGATGCGCTATCAAATCAGCTATCAGAACTTCCGAGAGAAAGGTGTAGATTAAGCATAATATACATAGACACTTCCATCTTTGGTGCCATCCAAGACGGCGTCTTGGGTGCCATGTGGTTGTCTATACTTAGATGTAGTCACGTGATCGGAGGGGTATCCTGGTCTGACGTAAAACAAGATGGGCGCCTTACCTAAAAATAGTTTGCATCATTTCTACTTTTAATCGCATGTCCGTTGATGAGTCTGTGGCTGTTGTGTCGTAGTGTGCGTGTTGTCAGGTGTTGTTGGTGTTCTTCTACTTTAGAACGTTAAATTCCCTAAGGCTACTAATCCCTGACTCAGACCTTCAAAACTTTGAACTGGGCCTAAAAATGCGCAAAGTACCGTAATTTTGTCATGAACAGATGGTATAACAGTGGTTTTCGGTCTTCCGTCATGATTTAAAATTTGGAAGCCATTGAGTATTGAGTCAAAGTTGAGTAAACTAGATCTAGATCTAGATCTACTAGATCTAGATTCTAGATCAGAATCTAGGTCTAGATCTAGAGGGGATCTTATACTCAAGCACGTTAAATTCCCAAAGTCTACTAATCCCCGACTCAGACCTTCAAAACTTTGAATTGGGCCTTAAAATGCGCAAACTACCGTAATTTTGTCATGGACAGATGGTATAACATTGGTTTTTGGTCTTCTATCATGATTTTGGAAGCCATTGATGAGTATAATCTAGATCTAGATCTAGAATCTAGATTTAAAAATGGTCGCTCGTTACCGTTACGGAAGTCCTCAATTGAAAAATTTAACGTGCTAAAGTATAAGATCACCAATCTAGATGTCACTCGTTGCGGAAGTCCTCCCGTTAAGGGAATAAAATCAATGGAAGGATTTAACGTGCTAAAGTATAAGATCACCGTGTTGTTGTCTCTGTCTTTTCACTCTACGGACTCTTCTTAATTACTCATGTACTCCAGCTCTGTTATAATTGTTGAATAGTTGACCAGTAATAGTCGGAAGGAGTTCCACAGAGGGCCTGCACTTATCGTGATGACAAGGTCCTGTGAGCAATCCCATACAAGACTGGCAAGAGTTCGGGTTAGGGTAAACCCTGCTCAAAAAGGCCACCTCTATTCTCACCGGTGAGAATAGCGCATGCGAGCCTTTTGGCTATTCTCACCCGGTGTGCGTTCATCGTGATAGCCTTGGCCAACCAGTGAAGCGTTCACCGTGAACCACTGTGATAACAGAAGTGTAGATGTAGAATTCTGTGCTGTGAACAAACGTTCCTGCGCTCTTGTGTTGAAAGCATGCAATTTTGTCTGTTGGCAGCGAGAGAGAAAAAGAGGGGGGGGGGGGCAGAGATAGAGAAAGAGAGAGAGGAGAAGGCCTAGCGCGAGAGCTTCTGGGCAAGACAAAATGGCGACACGTGTAGTTCGGTTCGATTCGAAAAGTTAATAGCCATAGCATCTTTGTAGATGATCAAATTAGCTTACTTTTGTGCTATAACGTCATTTTTTCTTTGCTTTTATCAATTTGATCATCCACACAAATAGACAGTATTCCGAAATTAGGACAAACAGGTCTTTTTTCACACCGGGTGAGAATAGCCAACGCTTGCAAGTCTCATCCGGGATGAGAGGTCGATCGTATTTTTATTCTCACCCCGGGTGAGGATAGCCACTTCCGCTCAAAAATACATGTGTATCCCCTCTTTTGTGTGTTGTTGGTCGGCTTGCCCTCTGTGAAACTTCTTCCTAATTGTCTTTTCATCTTTTTTCCTGTCTGGCACCGGATTTAAATCTGATTTTAGTAGAAGGGAGAAATTCTCCACATAATGAGCGACTAATCCAGACCTGCCACTCGTCCCGATTTTTTGCCCCAAATCTCAACCATCCCGATTTTCCCAATTTTGGCTGCCAGTATCCTGATTTTTTGTCGTTGCGTTGGTTGCGTCCGATTCTTAGAAGAAAAAAAAGAGAAAAGTTCTGCAGTCTCTTTGCTTTTACTTAGAAGCACCGATTGGACTTTTTATCGGCAGGAATTTGGAATGCTATTTTCTAAAGCATCTATGCCGAATCTGGTACATGTAGATGACTCACGCACGTTATTTCAACTAAAATCGACGTAGTATCAATTTTGAATTCCGATTTGGATATGCTCAAGATCTACTTTCGCTTTTATTACCCAGAAATCTCCGATGGTGTCCTGAACTGTTATAATTATGACATGGGTCTAAGAATAATCTATTCGTTGTTCTGCAGTTGCTTTAAAAGCAAACTTTGTACGAGTTCTGGTTAGTCGGTCCCATCATCAAGACCTGTCAGTGGAACTTTCAGTCCAACAAAGTTAATTCACATCGGTTAAGGTGTTTTCGGGACTTCACCGAGCGGGGGGGGGGGTATATTTTTTTTTACACATAGGCTTAAAGTGCGTACTGTGATACAGTTACTATTAGAAGTACTAATTGAGGGGAAAGGGGGGAAAAAATTAGCAACCTTGACGCGATTTTTTTTCAGGGGAGTGTCTTGAGTGTATATGGGATGAAAGTTGAACGTTGTTTTTGTTACTGTATGAAAATGCAGGCTTTTTGCATTGATGATTTAGAGTTATGTGTCAGCTATTTCCAAGACTACGAGAGTTTCAGCATCACTGCAACCTGCGCTCCTCCAGTCTATCCAACTCCGACTCGAGTACATAATCATAATATATATACTGTCTTTCAGTTTTCCCTCTTTATTTAGAGGCCCACACGTGAAGGTATTCCTGCAAAAGTTTTGTCTTGCATACTTGCCTCATAAAAGGGAACCAGGGACACCCCCCCCCCCCTTCCCCAGTGCCCCTTATGACTGATTTGCCGTTGATCGCGATTTTTTCCCCCAGATCCTGATTTTTTTACTCTAAAGTCCTGATTTTTAGATTTCATAGAGCGGCAGGTCTGCTAATCTAGCTAGATCTAGATCCAGATCCAGATCTTTTTAGAAAGAGAGTAATACGGTGGGTTGGGTCAGGGTTAGGGTTAGGTCTCTTTTAAATCTAGATCTAGATATTGTGTTTGAGTTTGATGGGGTGGCTGCTCGTTAAAGAAGTCCGTCCTAGTAGAATCTAAAAAAAACTTGCACATTTTTTTGTGATCAATGCAATTGTCCCAGGCCTTACTGTAAAGTTGCTCTGCACTATCAGCTATGTGTCTCAGTCTCACACTTGAAAATGTTACAGCCTTAGAAAACTATGTAATCATCATATTTGACCTTTATTGTGAGTGGATTGAGAGATTATTGGCAAATATGTGGGTTTTTAAAAGCAATAAATAAAATTGAAAATTTATTGGCCATAATCTTAGGCTACCGGATTTGTAAACTTGAGGTTGCGGGTTCGGGAATTCGAGCCGCGGGCCCGATGTTGTGTCCTTGGGAAAGGCACTTTTCACGAATTTTCCTCTCTTCACCCATGTGGGAATGGGTACCCGGTCATAAACAGTGAAAGATCTTGTCAGTGTTTTAGCGCCTATAGATGGCCGCTTGCACTATGCTTCCCAGGAAGTTGAGGTTGTTTCAGAATGCTCTCAGGTCTGCTGGGGTAATTATCAATAGTATAGATTGTGAAGCGGTGCTATAAATGCTATCTTTTATTATTAAATGGTTGTGAACATTTTTTCTAAAGCCAAGAAGGCTTGATATTATACACATTTATTCTATTGTGTGTGGATATGATATAACAACTTGTCTCTCTTTGCAAAGGAAAAAAAGGAAGAGAATGTGGAAAACAAGTTTTGAATGATGTTTGCGATTGTTACCTAAAGGTTCTGTTTAAGTTTGATTATAATAGGTATTACGGGTCTTCAATCTATCAAAGTCTAAATGTTATTAAACTTTTAAGTAGGCCCACTGTGTATCTGAATCATTGTGTAATCCTGTGTATCTACAACCTATGCATATATCATATATATATCATACATATAATTCATCACTATAATCGATATTTTGTATCTGTAGGTCTGGCTGCAAGACTCAAGGACAAGGAGACGAGTGTGCCTGACAAGCTGAAACTGGCAAAGTTTGCTTGGATCACACCCAGTCTCCACATTCCCAACAAACATCAGCAACTTTTGGACTTCACTTGTGGCCTCTTAGTCAATCGGAAAAAGTAAGTTATGTTGTCTCCTTGTTTTGGATTAAGTTTAAAAAAAAAATTATTTCATTTATTGTGTTCGATGGGTTGCTGAAAGATAAATTTTGGGTTTTAAAAAAAATGGGATCTAGTTATGCCAGTCTGTAGAGTCTAGTAATTGGTGAAAAAGAATTTTTCTTCATATCGAGGCTGTCTCAGGAGACAACATTTTTGTTCATAGAAAATTCAAACCTCGAAGACTTTTATTTTTCTTAATTTACTGTGTTCAATCATATTTAAAAAACAAAGTTGTTTTCTTTTTATTTAGAGATTTGGTTGTAATTATCTCTATTTTCTTTGCTTGGTTGAAAGTAAGAGTTTAAAAACAAAATCAATGCTGTAATATTTCACTGTGAGAAAAAAGATCATCAATCACAATTTTTGTCCTTTTTTTGTTGTTGAGCAGGCACCACCTGACTGATGCAGATGCTGCTCTGGTGTGGGAGACACTACTCAAGTTCTTGAAAGGGACGGAGCGTTCTGTGACCATCAAGCCCTCCATCTTGCAGGTACCTTATGACCTTTGTTTTTCGTGATAATATTGGGTTTTTTTTTCTTCCTTTTACTTCGATTTTAATCTGTTTTTGACAGTATCAATGGCCATAGACCAAACTATCTGAATTAAAAGCTCAGATTACTTGAAGAGTGTATTTTGTGTCTGGAAAGGAAATTTCTAATGATTGATGGTTCAGTAGTTTGAATATATTTCTTGCGTTCTATAATTTTTTGGTTATAATGCCTGTTTTTTTATGGCATTGTCGCAGTTTTGAGATTTTAAGTTTGTCTAAAACAGTCCAGTGTTCCTGCTATTATAAAACAAAATTGCAGATGCAAATTTTGAGATGTTTTGAGATTTTACAATTACTACTTAAAAAAACATTCTGATATGCATATAATGTAATTATTTAATTGAAACACAATTCTGTGACTTTACTAAGGTGTAAGATAAGGAACATAAAATGGTCTGTTTGTTCTCGTTCTCTCGAGGTGATCACTGATTGTCTTGGACAAGATTCAACCCCAAAGAATAAAGACAGGGCAACGGACAAGGAGCAGCTATTGGAATGTATTGTGGAGTGTACCAAACAGCTGATGGAGTTTCCGTCTGTGACTTCAGCTCATTTTGAGAGCCTGGTAAGAAGTATGACAGTGAGCATAGTTAGCTTTAGCCATTTGTTTCTGATTATTTGTAGGTAAAAGTATAAGTTACATTCCTCACATTTTCATGCATCACACTACTGCACTAAGAAGATAAGAGTTTGATTTGCATATGGCAAAGTTTTTACTGATAAAATCTGTCCGTTCTTCTGGGACGTTAAATCCAACTTAGCCCAGGTTTACCCTAACCCAGACACGAGACTGGGTTCAATAAGCCTGCCTCCAAAATGATCTAAATTATCTCCTTGTCAACATAAAATAATGGTAATGATTATTACAGTTCTAGTCATCCCTCTTAAATGATCTTAACTGTGTCGACGGTAGCATAAAACATTTAGAGCGACTATTCCAGGTGTCCCTGCTAGCCAAAATTCTCCAGTGTGTGTCCTGTCCCACGTCCAATGTGCTTGTCCTCCTGACCCCTGCGGTGAGCGTAGTGAGCCGAGCACTGAGAGTCCACCTCCAGCAAGTCCTCGTCCTGCAACTGACCACAGACCGACTTCTGGCTCCGTTCCTCTCGCTGCTGGACGTCTTGCCTGACATGGAGGACTTACAGGCCCTGATTGTTTCTGCTCTGCTTCACCCGTAAGTCCACAGTTGTTATTGGTGTTGTTGAACGGTTGAAACTGTTTAAGAGGACCATCCATTGTCAAGGACAAAAGTGGCTGTGTAAGACAGGGGGCCATGTTACGCAGTGTCATTATCATGTAAACAATACTCAAGGGAGGAAATGGGAATCAAGCTTTTGTGTGTGGCTAATGGGTTTAGGATAAAACAGTCACTTGTTGCTGTAGTTTTGTCTCCTTTGCGCCTATCCACGACCCGAAGAAGAGTGCTTCTCACCAGGGTCATGTTGTTGTTTTCTCAGTGGCACACTACGCTGCCTGTGCTACTGATGATGATGGTTAAAGTACCTGATGGGGCATATTTTTAACCTGGGTTGCTTTGGAAGTTTTTATAGACAGTGAAAGATCTTGTCAGTTTGTTAATGTTTGAACGCTTAACCAGCTGCTTGCACTGTATGCACCCGAGAAGCTGAGAATGTTTCTGAGTGTTCTATGGTAGAGGTGGGCAGTTCCGTATTTTTTTAGGTAACAGAAGATTCCCGATTATTTAAGGCCAGGAATCGTAGGAATCGGTTCTGAACCAATTACTTTCATTTTAGCCTGTAATGTGATTTCTTAGAGTGACTCTATGATTTCTTCCAGTGGCTTCGACCCCTAGCTAGTATCATTATTATATATACAGCAATTACCAGTTAGTCCGACCCCTGAAATTACCCCCCCGGCAGGTAGCAATAAGTCCAACCCCTGCAATTACTCCCAGCGAGTAGCAATCAGTCCGACCCCAGCAATTATTTCCGCCGAGTAGCGATCCCTATGACTACTTTCAGCGAGTAACGATTAGTCCGACCCCAGCAATGATTTCCGCTGAGTAGTGATACCTATGACTACTTCCGGCGAGTAACAATTAGTCCGACCCCTGCAATTTTCCACCGAGTAGCGATCCCTGTGACTACTTCTGGCGATTAGCGAATAGTCGGACACCAACAATTATTTCCGACGAGTAACGAGTAGTCTGATCCCTTTGATTACTTGGGGTGGGAGGGCGCTTCCCCAAGCACTACCCTGCCCAATCTCTACAGTGTGAAGTCAGAGAACCAACACTGACCTACACAAAGAAATGAGAGCCTATAATAGAGAGCCTCGTGAGCAAACTTTACGAAAAGGTAATTTAAAAACAACAACAGATGAATGAGAAAAAGGCGAAAGCAACGAATACGTTTTGACACTGTATCAATTGACTGTATCAAAGATAGTACATAACAAGATGGTCCACTCAGCCAAAAAAGTGTCCGCTCTTTGCTTCAGATTGCGCTGCAGTCTGTTTTGAAGCTCTCTTTCGTTTTTCCAGAAGAAGAATAGGAATAGCACCTCCTTGCGTGCGCAGATCGACTGCTGTTCATCAGCAGTTTGGGTTCGTTCAGTGCGCAGTTTTAGTTTTTAAAAATATTTTAATGACCTCTCGCCTTTCATTCTAAAGTCAAATTAAACGAAGAAAACAATCACCTTTCCTCCGGAAGAGGTTTTTTGTCAGCGTAACCATTTAAACAAAGCGTTCTTCCGAAATTTATTTTAAAACTTGCTAGTTTCACTTTGATTTTTTAAACTCAAGTAAGGTAACTTTGTTCGCAAAGGGTGCGCATTTGTGAAGAGGGCGCCACCGAATTTTGAGGACACGTTTTTAATTGGCTCAAAGAGAGGAGTGGCCCCTCTTTTTAAGTAGACCCTTTGACTGTATACTAGATCGATATAATCTTTGACAATGAATTTGCATCCCGAATACTCTTTCTTAAGTCTTCAAGATTCAGGATAACCTCGATTTCAAAACATAGCAAAGCACCAACAATTTTTTTCTAAAAAGTTGAAAACCCGACCTACCTTGGGATCGAGCTGGACAGACAGTTTTCATGCAAAAACCATATCTGGAACCTGAAGACGAAGGCCAACAAGAGACTTAACCTTCTCAGACGACTGGCTAGCACTTCATGGGGAGCGGACAAGGATGCACTCAGACAGCTATATGTTGGCTATGTACGATCTGCCATGGAATATAACCTAACCTAACAGACAATCTGCAGCAAACCAACTCAGAGGTCTCTTGACAAAATTAAAAAATCAAGCTGTACGATTTATCTCCGGAGCTTTGAGATCCACTCCAACTGCAGCTTGTGAAATCCATACGAACCTGGAACCCTTGGACTTGCGGAGAGAGACAGTAGTAGTAGAGATGAGTGAGCGCTACAAAAGACTGGAGAAAAACCACCCAAACAGGAAAATAATTGAACAGAGACGACCAAAGAAACGGATTCATGGAAGATCAATACTTGACACAGGCACTGAACTAGCAGAAAAACACATCTTCCATGTAACAGAGAAATGCTGAAACCTTTAAGACTAGAACTCCCCCCAAACACTAACATCAAGAATGCCAACATCAAAACCTCCCTCATAAAAGAGACAGTGAAAAAGGAATATGACCCAGTAGAACTGAAAACAACAGCTCTGAAGACAATTGACTCCTACCCTAGTGATTCAATTCATATTTATACAGACGGTTCAGCCTTCAAGGGAACTATAAACGCAGGCTTTGGGGTAAGAATTGAACATCCTGACAAAACATGTGAAGAGCTATTTGATGCATGTGGTACTTCTTGTTCAAATTATGAGGCTGAGGCAATCGCCATTGAAGCAGCAATCCTCCACCTGACCAACATTTTCATAATACATACAAACAAAATCAAGGACACTATTATCTTCACAGACGGAAAGTCAGTACTCCAAGCTTTGGAAAACATGAATTTCGAAAGCCCAGCCTGCCTATCCGTGGCTCAAACAATCAATACGTTCATACAGACCTATGCTGTCGACCTGACACTACAGTGGATACCTGGCCACAGCAACATCTCAGGAAACGACAGAGCAGACACCCTTGCCAAGAAGGGAGCATCACAAACACAACCACACAACACAGTATCACAACAGACAGCCAAGAACATCATCAAATGCAACACCAGGGAACAGTGGCTGAATGGATGGGCAATGGGCAAAACTGGAAGAACTGTATTTGCACACATGACAGCCCCCAACTCTAAAGATGCAATAAATTCCCTGAGTAGAAGAGAACAAGTCACGATATTTCGCCTGCGAACACAACACATACCACTAAATTCCTACCTTAATAGGATCCGCAAGGATACCCCACCCGACTGCCTGTTGTGCGACTGCCAGGATGAAACAGTACCACACCACCTCTTTAACTGCCCAGCACTTTATGACCTGCGTAGCACCTACCTACCTGCCTCCCCAGACATCGGAAACACTCTATACAGCGACAAAGCACAGCTGATTAAAACCTGTCAATTCTTTGCCATATCGACAGACCGAAGGGCTAGAACCCAAATGGCCGCTGGATCGGAAAAGTAAAGTAAAAGTAAAAGTTCTAAAAAAATACATTCTTTAAAGAAAAACTAAGATAAAAATAGCGTAATTGAGAATCGTTAGTTTACGAAAAAGGGATCGGTTCTTTTTCTTAGAAGCAATAATGGCAGGAATCAGTTCTGGAATCGATTCTTGGCCCACCACTATTTTATGGTGTGCTGGGGTAATAATATCAAAGATAGTACAGCCTACTGTAAGATGCTGCAGTGGCCCAATTTTGTGAGGCACATCGACTCCTAGCGCCACTAGCGGCGAGCGTGCGACAGTATGTAAACAAACACGGTGAGAGACTCGCAACGCTCATGCTGTCGGCATTACTGGCCAGTTTTGTTCAGCGATCGGCCGTTCTAATTCCAGAGGAAAAACCAATTAATAATTGTCTTTCTTCAGATTCCCAAAGGACGAAAAATGGAAAGACAATGTGAAATTGATTTTTTAATCTAAAGTCTAGATTAGAGCTAAACTAGAGAGATCAAAGTCCAGCCTGTAAGCTTTGTTTACTCTCAGCATCATGCATCCTTGACTATGACCAATGCTTTGTACTCTGTACTTTGTTGTGTGTGGGTCCATTCCATTAGGTGTAGAACTAGATTCTAGATGCAAATTTTATATAGATCTATATGTTTTCTGTGTTGTAGGTTATTATGTAATTTGTTCTTCAGCACAACACAGAGAGATCAGTATTTGCTTATTAATTTGTGACTTTTTATGACGTATGGGCCATTAGCCTCGAAAGTCAATAAAGTCTACTTCAGTTCAATTCTCTCTCACCACATATACTCATACACACTTGTACGCACGCACGCACACACACACACACACGCGCGCATACACAGACACACACACACACACACACACACACCATATGTCCTGACCACTTCTGTACATTTTATCATCATCATGGCCACCATCACATCATCATCATCAAATCATCTTCTTGCACATCACAAAAACCACCTCCACAAACATCCAGTGGCAGTGGGTGGACCAAGATTTGGGTGGGGCTTAGGTTGGTTCCACTTCTTTACTACCAAAAATCAAGCGCTATGAGCTCAACAGTGATGATTTTGCTATACTCACGGTGAGCCACGGTATTTTAGGAACAATTCGAGCGAGGAGAATCATCTTTGTCTTCCATCTCTTTATTCTAAGTTAGCTCTAGATTCTTCTGGATGGCGGGAACGAAACCGTTTCCCTTCCAAATTTTTTCTAATTTTCATCTAATGAAAAGTTGCCTTAAAAGTGGTACGATGTGATTTATAACACTTAAATAAGTTAAATCTCAGGAGCACACACAGCACCTCAAGCATATCATTATTCCGTCTATGATGAGCAGGTATCAGCTATGTAGTCGAGGAAAATTGAAAGAACCTAACGAAGGTCCAATGAGTGCATAGGTGACTGTGTCGCTGGGGAAAGTGTGTCGTAAACTTTCACCCTGTTGTCAAGTCTAGGAGAGCGTGAGCCCTTAGAAAAGAGAGAGAGACATAATATACCTCTATGTTGTATTCTTCTTTGTACTCTCTCTCTCTCTCTCTCTCTCTCTCTCTCTCTCTCTCTCTCTCTCTCTCTCTCTCTCTCTCTCTCTCTCACTCTCTCTCACTCTCTCTCACTCAGTCACCCACTCATCTATCTCTCTGTGTGCATGTTTGTCGTTTTAACTGTAATAGCTTATTAGTTCCCCCCTCTCCCCCCCCCCCCCCTCTTTCTCTCTCTATTTTGCTATTGCGGCGTTCCCTGGTATATCTAATACACTGTACTAATTGACACTATCTTTTGATTTCTAATAATGCATACTCCTAAAGATCCTGTCATCAATACGATCAATAATATTGCTCTAGGCCTAGATTTCGTGATTGTCAATGTCTAGATCTAGATCTTGATTCAGTAGATCGTGAGCCTATGCACCCGGTACACTAGATTTATCCTCTGATCTTATCACTCGTTACCGAAGTGAGGCTATTTTTTAATCTAATGTTTTCCTTTTTAAATATTTTAGTTCTAGATAAATTATTAAAATACATAGGTCAATACTTTAGTTTGGTAGATAGATCTATATAATTATTTAGATCTAGATCTAGATTAGAATAGCCCCTAGAGTAGGATTAACTAGGACGCTGTCATATTCTACTCTATCCAACAAGCCCAGGGCCAAGCCATCGGGGCTCAGTCACACGCTCACTGGGGGCGTGGCCTATTTTACGCGTGCTACATTTTTTTTTTAGAGGGAAAGAGGGAGCTGCAGCATCTTACCATAGGGTGTAGTATCTTTGATAATATAGTGTAAAGTGCATAGAGCTTGCTTTCGAGTAGGGACATGCGCTATGCAAATGCTATTTATTATTATTGTTATTAATGGCTCTCCACTTACAGGACTGGGTCCGAGGTGGAGAGCTTTACTTTACTTTACCTTTACTTTTATCTGCCGCTTATACTCTTATACTCTATACGCTTGGGTCAGGGGGATGCCGTGGGTGGTTAATGTTTCCCTGACACAATCTATCCAGGTCTTTCTCGGTCGCCCTCTAGCATTGTTGCCATCAAATTTTTTGATGTAGACACATTGTGCTGGATGGTGCGTTGGTAATCGCATGAGATGTCCGATCCTTTTGATTCTTTGATGTTGGATGTGATGCATGACATCATTTGTGCCCACCATTTCTCTGATTACTGAGTTTCTAATTTTGCCTCGCCTGGTCTTGTCAGGTGGAGAGCAAACCATAAGTTTGGAAGTCCAATTTCTTAGATAAGTGTTATATGTTGATGGACGTGTTAAAACTAACACAATAATGAATATCATACATTGTTTTTCTCTCCAGAAACCTCTCAGAGAGGAACAAAACCTCTGTTGATATGCTTGTACTAGTTGTACATTTCTCTCCAAAATAGGCCTCTGTGGTGTAGCAGTTATGCCCTTTGCTATGGCAGAAGAAGCGAGTTCAATTTTGGTTTGGGGAGACCTTCTTTTTTTTTCTTTCTTAAAGTGTCTCTGCTTGCATTTTGTATCACCCTCTGCCCAGGTTGGACGTGACAAACAGTGTCAAAGTAGATGGCCCCGTTAGTAATGTAAATTGTGCTGATAGAGCCGATAGATACTTACAGTGTCAGTTTCTCTCCTGCATAAAAAAGTGAACAAAAGACTATTTTTTCTAAGGAAGCTAAAGTATTTTAAAGTTGATAAAACATTGATGTCCATGTTCTACCATTCAACCATCGAAAGTATGATCAATTTTTGTATAACAGCATGGGCCGGGAACACAAGACAACAAGATAAAGAAAAATTTAATCGACCAATACGGAAAGCATGTAAAATTTCAACATCTTCATTCCCCTACTTGGATGAACTGTACAAAACAGCTTGCACTAAGAAAATTAATTCCATCTTTTTAAACAACAAACATCCCTTGTTCCCTCAAATAAAAACATCAGTCAGAAGTAAAAGACCTAGGCTTCTGATCTGTAACAAAGAAAGAAACAGAAGGTCATTTTTACCATCATCTATCAAAATGCTTCCATCTTAACCATCTTGTATAAGTATACTTACGACCTTAGAGCATGCATCAAAATAACATTGAGTGTGTATCTAGCTTACGATTATTATTGTTTATATTGCTGCTCATTTATATTATGCATGTGATTGTAAGCCTACTTGTGTGTGCACGTGTGTGTCTGTGTGTGTGTGTGTGTACACGTGGTGGAACACCAAACCAATGTGCCAGGATCTGGACAATAAAGATGTATCTTATCTTATCTTATCTTCTCTTCAGAGACCACTCATCCCCCACGGGGCGGTGCCACTGACTGAAGTGTCTTTAGGCCTTTCCCAAAGGGGAGACATTAACTTGTTTTTATGCACAGTAGAATTGTAAATGGGCTGATTCAACGATGTCATGCTCATAACTATGCCTGAACTGCAACAGAGGACTGCTGCTTTTTCTTTCCTATTCCTTACTATCGTCATTTCTCCTCTACTTCTTTTGTATACTTGTCAGACTCTTGTGACTCGCTATTACCGGGGTGCCTTGATAGTCGAAGCAGACCTTGTGCTATTGAAGCTAGAGAGGTGAGCAGAGTAAGCCTGATTCCCTGTAAGGGCTTCTTTGTTGACATCCACCCCTTGGCGCTCATATGACCTTATGCAGTTGCGAGTGCCGTAAAACCTCTACTAAACTAAACGAAACAGAGACCACTCAGTGATGTACAAAGCCTTTGTTTATGGACGTGAGATTGTGTGTTTGGGGGTAAGAGCCTCAGCTCAGTCCGACGTTGTGTCTTTGGGAAATTTCCTATGTGGCTGTGTACTTTCGGAGAAGGACATTTAACTCAGAGGTCCTATCTCATTGATGACCTAATGATTGTGTTGATAGGTAGGGGCGCTACACCTTTTCCATTTGTTATGCAGCGACCACTCAGAGATGTACAAAACCTTCCTGGATGACTTTAGTAATGGACAGGGGCCGGCTCAACTCAAGCACGGTCTCAAGTCTGTCTCCAAACTGTTTGAGACTGTCGCAGCATTTCTGGCTCAGGTTTGTACTTAAACTTTGTCTCTGCCGCATATTTGAGTTTTTATCTATTTCATTTTTGAAATTTGTCTTTATTGGGTGTTTGAGTTTTTATGTCAATCTTGTTTTTGAGTTTTGGCTCCATTTCTTAAATTTGTGTAAGAAAAGCCTATGCCAGGGACTGTGGTGTAGTGGATAGGCTCTTCGCCGATGCAGTTAGAAGATGCAAGCTCATTTCTGAGGTGAAAAAGTATTGAGTATTTCCATCTATCTGCTTGGAAATTATATCCTTCATACCCTGGGTTGGGCTTGACAAGCCAGGATTGAAAGTATTTTCTGTTTGGCTTGGTTCTTTCGCAGAGGGATATTAAAATCTGAGCTTTTGTTGCTTAGATACCTTACTGTGTTGCAATTTCAAACATTTGTTTTTTACTTTTGAGAAATAATGAATTTGAGAAAATATACAGAATTTTCTTCAATGATTTTTTTTAATGGAAGTTTTTTAAATTTTGGCTTTGTAGACAAAGTTTTTGTGAAATTATTGAAATATTCAAATAAACTGATTCAATCTCTGCTCAGGGCAAGCATTCTGTGGCCACCCAGTTCCTGCCTCAGTTGATGAAACATTTTGTCTGTCAGAACAAGTAAGTTCATTTGTAAGGCATGCTGGCAAAATGAGTTGCTTCCCACAATCCAGAACTGGCAGTATCTGTCGAAAAGTCAGCACAGGGGTTGAATTTGCATATATTTGACTGATGTCGTTTTCTTCAAGTTTTGCGTCTTTTATCTTTTCATATTAATCAATTGTACAAACTCAACTTGTGAATTACAAATCTATTTCCATTGTTTTAAAATTTGAAGAGTACCTCTTTTTTAAGCACACTTCCTTTGTTTGTATTTTTGGGTTGTTTTTTTCTCTCACTCTATCTTGCTTTCTGTCTGTCTCTCTCTCCCTGGTTCTTATTGGTTGTCTTGTGGTTTGGTTACTGGACTCATAATTGTGAAGTTGCTGGTTTGGAGGTTTGAGCCTCATACTCCACGTTGTATTCTTGGGAAAGGCACTTAGCAGAAATTTTCCTCACTGCACCCAGGTGGGAATGGGTACCTGGCCATAAAATGGCAGCTTGCTTCCTAGGAATGTTTCAGAATACTATCAGGTCTGCTGGAGTAATAATATAAGATGTGAAGCGCATAGAGCTTGCCTTTGAGTTGGAATTTGTGCTATACAAATGCTGTGTATTATTATTATAAGTCTTCCCTCCATATTTTTTTTTCTCCAGTCTCTTAACACTTTCCCTACCGCGAGCTGCAAGTACGGCTCGAGTGGCTCGCTGTGTATTCAAATCCAGTAATGAAAAGACAGGAAATTCTCGGCCGATCCACATTTTCTAAATGATAAAATAGACTTCCTGTTCGCAGATACAAAAGAAAATATATCACTGAGAGACTATTTTTAGTCATTTCAGGACTTTTTTTGTTCCCTTCGAAACGTAAGAAATAGAAAAAAAGCTGGGGGCTCTCGTGGCCTAGAGGTTAAGGTGTTGGCCTCTCATTCAAAGGTCCCGGGTTCGAATCCGGGTAGCGACCGAAAAATTTTCTTCTCTAAAATTGTCTCCTTTCACCTTCTTTCCTGCTCCCTAGCAATGTTCTGTTGTCTGCCTTCATTTCCACTTTCTGCCCCCACCCCCTCACCACCTTTGCCCCCTCCTTTTGGCTCCTGACTCTTTCTGCAGCCTTTCTACTGTTACTCCTTGGCTCCTCCTTACTGCTGTCTTTCAGCCACACCCCTGATCTTCTGGTAGGGAAGATCTACACCTAGCCTTCTCGGACAAGGGCGAAAAATCTCGGAGGGCCCGTGTGCAAGTTGCGCACGTTAAAGATCGCTTGGTGGTCTAAAATCGATAAGAGTAGGCTTCGGCCGCCACCTGGGCAAAATTCAAAATTTCCTACCAACTGAAAATATTAGGTGTGTCCCGCGCGCTCATATGACCTTATGCAGTTGCGAGCGCCGTAAAACACTTTACAAAAACAAAACAAACAAAACAAGAAAAAAAGCGCTCCCCTGGCTTCAGTATATGACTCATATTTTCACTTCTATATTAGTACACTTACATAACTTTCAGTATTTCTTTGCATTACTTGAGGCTACCTACCTGGGAAGTTTGAATGATGCTGTTGTTGTACTTTTTTAGATATGACCTCTCAAAGCTGGAAAATTGTCGATTTCTTATGACGCCGTCGATATTGCATAATCACTTTTAGAAACCCCAAACTAATATAATTGGAATAAATCTTCAATATTGTATCACCATCTGATAGATTATTTTTTTACCTTCAGTTTGATGGGTCATCATATGATACGGTTTGTGTGTGTTTAGTTGGATATTTTGACATTTTCCTTTGGTGGGATAGGGGCGTAAAAATAGGTCAGGGAAAAGCCCTGGGCCAGTGGTGGATTTTGGCCTTGTAGGAAAAGAGTTAATCTTTCTCTCATCTCTCCTTTATTTGCAGATGGTTGGAGGGCACTACTTGCAGGTTGTGTTTCTTTTCTTTCCCTCTATCATTTGTGTCTATCATTTTTTTTCCCACCTCTAAATTAACATTTTTGTGAAGTTGTGCTTTGTTTTACACAGACAAGCCAGCAAAATGATTGTTATTGTGTTTATGTGCTTCTTTTTACTTTAACACTTTTCCCCACGGGACGCCGATCGGCATTGGTGTGGTATAGCGTGTACCGCATCTGTATCCTGGTCCATAGGGATAAGTGTTGTGCTCTCGGTGCACTGCGTGGGTGGATAGTGTTAACAAAGACACTCTCATCTCATCTTCTGTTACAGAGCGGAGCCCAGAGAGAGTTTTCTCCTACTAAAACACCTGGTGTCTCTTGTGGGTGACACTGACCCTCCTCGGCCATCATCCACTCCCACTCCCACCACTGCCCACACACTCCCGGCTGATCTATGGACAGAGACAGTGGCCAGGCTGGTGGAAGCCTGTGACGGCTGTGAGCTGTTTGCCACTGGTGCTGGTGGAAGTGTTGGAGGAGGGAAACAAAGTCAAGGTCAAGGTACCGTGGATATCCTGACCTGGTTTTGTCAGCTCATGGAGGCTGTCGTCAAACAGGACAGGTGAGAGGGTCTGAGCTTGCTTGCTTCTTCTTCGTCTTCTTCTCCTCCTCCAGCTCCTCCTCCTCCTCCTCCTCCTCCTCCTCCTCCTCCTCCTCCTCCTCCTCCTCCTCCTCCTCCTTAGCGTTCCCCTGCTAGATCACAGGGACAGTTGACTTCTTGTTCTTCGAACTGCAGTGCAAGCAGATTTTCACTTGTGTGAACATTTTTCCTACTTTGTACGACCCTTTGCCTTCAGAGAAATAAAAGAAATAAAAAATAAGTGGCATTAGCTGTGTAGTGGGTAGGTTCTTCCCCATTTCAAACAGCTGCTAAGGTCATTTCCTGTCTGGAAGATTTTAAAAAAATTGAAAATCTCAATGTGTCTGCTGGGGCAGATGAAGAATGAAAATTGAATAAATAATATCCATGTTGTATTATACTTGTGTATCTTTGTGCTTATGCAAGTATATTTTTTAGAGTAAAAAGTGTTTAATATATCGGTGTGAAGAATGTCTAATCTATGAGTGTCGGAAATGTTTGAACTATGAGTGTGAAAAGAGTTTTGATTTATGGGAGTGAAAAATGCTTTCTCTGTGCAATGCATCTAACCTATTTTCTTTTTTCTTTTGTCTCCAGGAAGCTGTCTTGGTTTTCTTTCATGCGGTCAGTTTTGCAGCAGAATCACTTGATTGTGGAGAAATACCTGACCCAGATTCTGTCTTCAGGCCTGGTTCGATCAAATCAGGTAATTTTAGAGATGAATTGTACTGATTGTCCATTGGAAGAAATTACCTGCTTCCTTTCACCAACTTCTTCTGCCACACAATCAGACAAACTATTCTCTAAATTTTTAAATTTAAATATTTTTTTTACTTATTTAGAATTTATTTTCATTTTCCACAGTAATTGTTTTATATTTGGATTTATGTAAAGTGTCTAGAGCTGTGTGTACTTTTGAGAAGGTGCTACAAGAATGATCTACATTATTATAATTTTCATTATTATTATTATTGATTAAAGAGAACACCAAATTACCCATTTACACTATTTATTGTGGATTCTGATTCCTGAATAGAAAAAATTGAGAACCCAAATATTGTCCTCGACAATAGTTTTGGAATAACAAAAGAAGAAAAAATATTTCTCGAAATATCTTCTTTAAAAAAAAAGTACTCTCGTCTGATTTAATTATACATCATAGAAATATTTTGGGGTCTGAAAGTTACATTTTTATTTTTAAAATTTTTTTCTCCATCTTCAGAGTGAAAAGAGAGAATGCTATGGCCAGGACTTGTTTTTGTCAGAGCTGGTGTCCATGTACCTGAGACTAAGGCGAACTCCGGAGTTGTTGTCTGCTCTTCTGTCTGCCACCGACCCCCACGTGGAATGGGAGGGCGGGGCTGGTGACGTAATGGGCAATGCCAGTGACGGGATGGGTGTGTTGCCAAAGTTTTATCAGAGGTATATATATATATATATATATATACGGGGGGCTCTCGTGGCCTAGAGGTTAAGGTGTTGGCCGCTCACTCAAAAGGTCCCGCGTTCGAATCCGGGTAGCGACCGAAAAATTTACTTCTCTAAATTTGTCTCCTTTCACCTCATTCCTGCTCTGTAGCAATGTTCTATCGTCTGCTTTCGTCTCCTCTTTCTGCCCCCACCCCCTCACCTCCTTTGCCCCTTCCTCTGGGCTCCTGATTCTTTCTGCAGCCTTTCTACTGCTACTCCTTCGCTTCTTTTTACTGCAGTCTTTCAGCCACACCCCTGATCTTCTGGTAGGAAAGATGTACACCTAGCCTTCTCGGACAAGGGAGAAAAATCTCGGAGGGCCCGTGTGCAAGTTGCGCACGTTAAAGATCGCTTGGTGGTCTAAAATCAATAAGAGTAGGCTTCGGCCGCCACCCGGGCAAAATTCAAAATTTCCTACCAACTGAAAAATATTAGGTGTGTCCTGCACGCTCATATGACCTTATGAAGTTGCGAGCACCGTAAAACACTTTACTTTACTTTACTTTTACTTTTTTCTTCCGCTTGTACCCTGGGGTGTCGCAGGGAGACACAGGCGTCTGTTTGCAGCAAGTCGTGTGGCCTGTAGGAGGGACATCCCATGATCTCTAAGGGTGTCTGCCACAGATTCACTCCATCATCGCCTTAGTCTTCCTCTGGCTCTCCATCCAGAATATTTAGTGTTGTATGCTCTCAGAGCTGAATGGTTTGAGGGCATCCGCGTGAGGTGTCCGAACCACTTGACATTTTGTTTTTCAATGTGTGGTAGGACTGGTGTTGCTCCCACGGTGTCCCTTATGACTTCATTTTTACAAAACCAAAAAAAAGCAGAGGTATATACACACAGGAGTAATTTATTTTATACGGAGATTTTAATGCACACAACAGCCCTGGGAAACAATCCAACAATAAAGGTGACATTATTGACGATTTCTTATTTCAGAATAACATCTGTCTTTTGAACGATAGGTCCCACGCCTACAGAAATAGATGACATGTGTGATCTATGAATGTGAACAGTGTCAGAGTTGCTTAAGACATTATTACTTTCTGTTAATGTGTTGTCTTGGCCTTTTTGCGCAATGGTGCCTAAGTTGTTCATGGAGCATCAGGCGTTTTATTAGAGTGGTCTGAGGGCAACACTAGTAAGTCTTTCCTCTTCTGATCCCCTCTAGTGGGTGGTTGGCGGGTGCTCTGGTGTGGTTTGCTTTTTCTTTCCTGTCAAACATCTATAGTCCTTATCTCCCCTTTTTCTTTTTTATGTTTGTTACTTTCTTGTAACACCTCTAATCTTCTGGCGCTCATATGACCTTATGCAGTTGCGAGCGCGGCAAGGAGATTAAAAGTAATGGAGGATGCTCTGTGGGCGGCACCGCACGCCTGATAGGAGCCCTCTCTCGCGGCGGAACCGTGGGCTGCCTGCGCTGCGCGATTGCCCGATTAAGACACTGAAATCTAGATAAGAAAGAAGGTTTTATTCCGAGGTCCTTCAGATTAGGCAAGTCAATTAGTAAAAATGCCTTGCACCTGTGTTGTATTTAAGTGTAAGAACTGATATGATGCTGCAGTGGACCGAAGTTTTCACAGTTAAGTTGTTTCCCTTTTAAAAAATTTGAATGAAAGTGTTTCTATGCTCCCAGCAACACAATTTAAATCATTAATTCATAAGAGGCTGGCCCCGGCGCTACATGCCAAGGCCAATCCAGGCTGAAAGGGATACAACACCCCAGCAGAAAGACTGGGATACTCAATTTTTTAAAAGTATTCTTATTCATAAATATATATAATTATTATGAGTATATATATAATTATTATGTGTGTGTATGTATATACATATTATACATTTTAATTAAAGATATTGCTTTCCTTTGTGTGTGCAAATTAGATGCTACTGTAGTCTAAATGTAGATATCTAGAGGCTCCATTAGAACATGAAATCAATATTCAACAACAATAATGATGAATATTTTCTATGTTAAAGAAACACCAAACCATATCAGATGTGGGGAGAAGGTAGGGTGGGGTGGATAAGAGTTTGAGTCTTGTTAGATAGAACTATACTCGGTTTAATTCTATTGTTGTAGTCTTCACCTAAGATCCCACAATCAATAATTCCGGTTCACTTAAGATTCTGCTGTTAAAAAATAAACCAAACAAAGCAACAACAAATTTTACTACACAAGAGTCATCACTAAGATAAATTATCCCCCTCTGGAGTGTAATAACGGACTAAAAACGCTGCTCTCCATATCATACTTTACTGAAGAAAAAAAAAAAACCTTCAAAGGTTATCCACGCTCATGCATGCGATCACACCTCCAAGGGTGCTGTTATCTCTTTTTTTTGTGTGGAATATTTGAAATCATTGTGCGCTCCACTTTGTGAAAACCAGGAAACAAAATTATTGTGATCAATAATATTATTTATAGACCAAGACATACTGTTAGCAATTAGATAAAGCAAACATCGACCCTCTTTTGTGTCCGCTATTCCTCACACATAAAGTTAGTTATGGCACACGCCTAGAATCATGCGATCATATATCTTAAATTCAGTTTAAAAGTATATTTTCATCCATTTCTTATAATTATATATTTTAGCATCTTGAAAGATAAAAACTCTTAAAGAATTGAACAGTCTGTATCACACACATAATTTTTTCTCCCTGTCATTATCCGTCAGCCCGTCAGTTGATCACAATCTCTCTCTCTCTCTCTCTCTCTCTCTCTCTCTCTCTCTCTCTCTCCCTCCCTCCCTCCCTCCCTGTCTGTCTGTCTGTCTGTCTGTCTGTCTGTCTGTCTGTCTGTCTGTCTGTCTGCTGTCTGTCTGTCTGTCTGTCTGTCTGTCTCACTCACTCACTCTCTCTCTCTCTCTCTCTCTCTCTCTCTCTCTCTCTCTCTCTCTTATTTAATTTTTCCCATTCTCCTTCGTCCCTTCCCAAGGCCCGCCCCTCCTCTTTCATCCCAGCCCCATCCCCTCTTCCTTGCGTGCATTCCCCCACCCCGCCCACCCCCACAACGTGGCCCAGCCCGATAAAATTCTACAAAAAGAAACGCCACAGTTTTTTCTTCCGCTCGTACCCTGGGGTGTCGCAGGGATTTAGCCCACACTCGGTGGCCATATTTGATCCCCAACGCGGCGTACTTCTCGCGGCGCCGCGAAGAGAGAGAGGAGGCTCCATTAGTTCTAAGCTCCTTGGAGCGCGGTAAAACCTCTACTAAAACTAAAACTAAAACTCTCATCCCCTCTGTTGTTTTCTGTGTGTTAGTCTTTCTTTTTCCCATCACAATATGTGTGTGCCTGGAGAAAGGTCCCAGTTGTCGGAAATTTAGGATATCGAAATAGGGGCATATTCTTACAGGAAATTCAATGCTGAACTCGCTATTTAAAAAATTTTTCAAATATTTTGAGCTTGTTCGATACCTTACAGTTCTCTCTACATGGTTCCCGCGGCCTCCTTGAATTCAAGGAGTCCTTGAAAACTCCTTGAATTTGCATTCAAGGAAAAATCTCCTTGAAAACTCCTTGAATTTGAGGAACCTCCTTAAAAACTCCTTGAATTTTGCCAGGTCGGACAGAGGGTGACTGCCAGGCCCCGGGGCCCCCGGGAATTATCCTTAAATTTTTTTTTAAATCGCCGAGACCCGGGAATGCCCGTGGAATGAGAAGAAATCTCTGTAAATTGCCGCAGGAAAGACCCAGGGAAATATTTACATTTCTCGAATACTTGAAAACAGAATCCGATAACGTCCTTGAATTCATTTTTGCCTGTTGCGATTGTGATATTTGACTTTTCCCGGCCTGAGAGTAGGAGGTTACACGCAAACAAGTGGCTATGGCGGCAGGCAGAAGGGTATGAGTGATGAGCCTCCTACCGATGCTCGATCGTGAAAAATCAAAATCTACTTTCGCTTTCGTTACCACCCAGAAATTTGCCGGTAGTAATCTGATAATTGTTATAACGCAACATTTGTAACATGCAGGTAGTGCATTACAAACGCTGTGTCACTGTGAAAATAAATCTTTTGTCCTGTGCTGTCACTTGTGGGAAAAAAAGATCGAAAGAAAAAGAAAGTTATACAAGCGTCTTGTCGGGCTCACTATCGTGACCGGTCAGTGAACCTGTTCGTTCGCATCACATCGTGAGTGTTGGCGTGAGGTCACCAGAGTTCATTCAAAGTCTGAGAGCTACGAAGTATTCTACTCTGGAATGGGGGGGATTATTGATTTTTTTAAAGACGCACGCAGAGGAGGGGGGATGGGGTTGAAAGCAACGCTGAATGACAATAACTGAACTTGGAAGCAGATTTTACTTTTCAGAATTTTGACTACTACTAGATCTAAATCTAGAGCTCTCTGCAAAGGGCGCGTTGGTGCAGGCTTTGTGTGGAATCGGGATCCGTCATACTCATACTCAAACCTTGTAAGCCGTGTTTTATTTTAAATACTAAAGGGTTCCCGTTTCATTTTGTGGGTGACAGTAAATTACATCATGTATTGTATTATATTCTATATTTTAGCTTTTTGTTCAAGATTCGCAGATTTTCAGTGTCACTACATATTCTTGCCCTCCCTCAGTTCTTACACCTCTCACTCTGAATAGGTCTACTTGAGCCATTCAAGTAATTACTCTACTTTGAGTTTGTCTTTCATGTTTATTATGTATACCTTGACACCCAAACTGGTTCTTGACAGTCGATATTCTGGCCCTAGGCCTTTTCTCAGGCTCAAAACAAGATTCATTTTTATTTACAGTCAAACCTGTGTAAGACGGCCACCCATTGTCAAGGAGAACAGTGGCCGTATAAGACAGGTGGCCGTGTTAGGCAGGACTGATCAAGATGAAGAAAACAAACCATTTCCATCTGAGGTCCCAATCGAAAGTAGCCGCATTGTTGTTGTTTTTGTTGTTGTTGTTGTTGTTGTGTGTGTGTGGTAGCCTATCCATTCGAAAT